CCCCCCCCCTCTACTGAGTACAATCTATAACAAGAATGCGACACTCACTTGTTCTTCTGTTTCTAATACAGAGCATGCTAGTTCATAAGACTTCTTGATGAGAGAATCTACATTCAAGGATCCTGACTTTGCTGTCTGCTTGTGAGCAGTGTGCTGCAACATTTGTGCTATACATGTTGATACGGCAATTGTAGAAGCCTGGCATCTGAGGAGAGGAGAAGAGAAATATTATGAACACATGCTTTTTTTAAGTTTAGTTTTAGTAGAGGTTTTACGACGCTCGAAACTGCATAAGGTCATATGAGCGCCAGAAGATTAGAGGTGTTACAAGAAAGTAACAAACACAAAAAAGAAGAAGGGGAGATAAGGACGATAGATGTTTGATAGGAAAGAAGGAGCAAACCACACCAGAGCACCCACCAACCACTCACACACATGCTTTTTGTTATGTAAGATCGCCAATATGTAGAGCCCTAGAAAAAGGAGGGAACAAAGGTTAATAAATAGACAAATAGATGTAGAAAAAAATGACAGAATATATTATATAGACAATATGCAAAGATAGGAAGATAAAAAGTAGAGGAGCCAGATTCTTAAAGACAGAGAGAAAGATTGACAGGCAATTGACAGATTCTTAAAGACAGAGAGAAAAACTGACAGACAATATGGTTTCATTAGAACTGAGACTGACAGAGAAAAGACTACTTTAAGGTATGTTGACAAGTAGGCATTTCTTGCATGAATATGTTAACTGCCATACCCATGCCCTGGAATGTTGCTTTAAAAACATCAACAAAAAGTTTGGTATGGTTGATCTAATCATGGTGACAATACTATCCCAAAAATCATAAGTCCCAAAAATTGTAAGTGCACAAATTCTTCATGTTGACATTCTTAACTCACCGAGCACCGCTCCCGCAACATATGCAGTCCGGTAAAATACCGCGACCGCAGTGTATGCGGGTTCAACTGTAATTGACTATAAAGTAAACCCAGCAGTTTAAAAATGTTTGCAAATAGCCCCTGTTGTTTAAAAACAGGATATCGACAAGCTAGTTCTTTATTGTGATTTGTCCAATAGACTGAACAACTGAAAGTAAGGAAGTTCCACACAGTTTCTCGTAAGCGAAGAATGGCACTGCGAGGTGTCTCGAAGTTTATTGAAACTTGATAATTTTGGTGAAGATTTAAGTGACAGTGAGGTATCAGATAGATAATTTCATAAATCAAAATGTGAATTCGCCTAGCAGTGATGAAGTGACAGAGAAAATGACATTAGACCTAGATCTAGGTCTAGACCAACATCGTCTCTCGATTGTGAATTTGACTCGTCAGCAAGTACGCAGCCGGCTGTGGATGATGATGGATCTAGCCCCAGTACTATTTCAAATCAGCCCTCAAAGTGGAGGAGATATATATATATAGATGACCTGACCTGGAACATCTAAAGACAGATCTAGTCCTAACACTAGCAGCACTGACAGTGAAAATGCTTCTCAGTCTGTCACCGGCGATTTTAAGATCTAGATCTTTTTTTTTTTTTTCAAAATTAATTATCACTTACATTTTTCTGCTAATTCACTGTACACACTCAAGCTTCATTCTCCTACACACAAACACACACTGCAACAACCATTTTGTGTAAGTTTATTAGATTTCTGATTTGTCACATCATTCCTTTTTTTTTTTTTTCAAAATTGTTTTTCTGGGGCAAATTTGTCCCAACTTTGTGTCCCATACATTTTTTTGTCCTTCTTTCTTCACAAAATGTGTTTATATTGTGCCTGGTGTACCCATATCTTATTAAATAGCACAGAAAATTATAAAAAAATAGCATTTCATTTCAATTTTTTATGAATTTTCAAAAAGTGGGGGAAATGGGTGGTCCACAGGGGCTTGGAGGCTAATCGGGGCATGGTGCTCAGTGAGTTAAAGTAGAAAGATGGGGAAAAAAGGCAAAGAAAAGAGAAGCAAAGTGAGAAAACCTGAAAGAAAGAAAGAGAGGGAGAGAAAAAGACAGACAGGAAGGTGAACAGACAGAATGACAGACAGACAAAAAGGGAGTGAGGATACATTAGGCAGGCACTTGTGCTTGTGTGTGTGTGTGTGTGTGTGTGTATGTATGTGTGTATGTGTGTGTGTATATGTGTGTGTGTATATGTGTGTTAGTGTGTGTATATGTGTGTTAGTGTGTGTATATGTGTGTTAGTGTGTGTATGGGGGGGGGGGGGGGTGAGCAGAAAGAGGGGAAACTAAGTTCTTAATTTTTTATCAATCGCTTCTTTGAGAAAAATCAAACTTGACGATGATACCTTGGGTCATGATGAGTTGTCTTGCAAATTTCTATGCAGTTTTTAATCACAGCATCCAAGTCCTGCCACTGGTGAAGACCTAAGATAGAGGTTCTCATCACAGCTCCATTTGGAGCAACGTTTCTCTGATTGCGGTCCCAGACCATGTAAGCAACCTGGCAAAGTAACAATAACAATCACATGACGTAGTTGGAAAATGTTACAGCAAGGTCATCAATGAATGTAAACTATCCTTTACTACTGGTACCCAAAATATTAAAGATGAAAAGTATGACAAAGATGACAAGTAAGTGTACTCACTCAAACAACTTTGAACCAGATACAGTGACACTTCATGTAGTACACCTACGTACTCTACATGTGGGTGTATACTAATATATAATAGATGAATTTCATTTTCATAGGTCATAAGTGTCTCTTAGAATTATCACTTCTATAACATGACATGCGTAATATAATACTTTCAAATATACAAATTTCCTTTTATTAGCAACTTCAAGAATTTGCCTTATCTCTTCATTACAGTCCGTGCCGGCTTTAGGCACGGTGGCAGAAAACTCGTATCACACTCAAGCACGCTAAACGGCTCTTCCCGAATTTTTCCTATATATAAATTACAAGCCTTTAAGTAACATGCTACATATTATACTTTCAAATACAAATTTCCATTTATCAGCAACTTCAAGAATTTGCCTTATCTCTTCATTACAGTCCGTGCCGGCTTTAAACACGCCGACATAAAACACGTATTGTATCGGACTCAAGCACGCTAAACGGCTCTTAACCAATTTTTCCTACTATATAAATTACAATATTTAAGCACTGTAACTTCGGCTTCGGGCACGCTTCATTTACAAAACAGTCAACACTTTCATGATGACCCATCGAAGTTTGAACACAGTCTACACGACAGCAGTGAGTGTGTTGAGAGAAACACAAAGAAGGCAAGTGATGGAGACACACATGCGCGCGCGTGGAGAGGAAGGCAGAGAGATACACACAGCCGCGCGCGTGGACATAGGATCTAGCCTAGGGAAAATGTTCACACAGACGAAAAAATATAAAGAGAGTAGGGGAGATGAGAAAGGGAGGCTAGTTGCGATTTCACCTTTGCCCCTCACTATCCAACAATCCTGAATGTATACGCGCAAGGTGAGATGAAGGCGGTGGTATGAATAAGGCACAGCGGGCAGTGGTACGCACAGGCAGCGTGTAGGCCTAGTGTGCTGTATCATGATTGGCTATCTAAATTAAGTTTTCCTTTCCCATTCAACCACAAAACAAAACACGCAAACAAACAAAAACTACCATGGCGGGTGTAAAAAAGATAACGCACACTTTTGCGTGAACACTACTTATTATACGAACAAAGGGAAATAACTCAGGAAAGTTTCTACATAAAAATCTCTGGATGATGACAATGTCTACTTCGCACTCAAGCATGCTCCGGCATTAAGCCCCCTTATGCTTTCTCCCGAGGGCCGTGCTTGACTCTTTGCGCCTGTAATTTTTTTCCAATGACCCTCCCAAAACGCCGGAATAAATTTTCTCAGGAGCACCTATTAGTATTACAATAAGGCAGGGTACCTTATTCGAATTGATTCTGCTGCCATATTTTTTCAACGAAAGTACATATATTTGATACTACTGGAAAGGTAATTGAATAAGCAATCACAATAGATGGGCTGCATGGTTCTTGTGTTATTATGAAAGAGCAATTACACAATACAGGGGGGATAATAACTGAAAAATAATGAACTTGGCTAGTTTGATGAGTTTTATCCAACTCGTTGTCACCATAACCAAAGAAATACAGACTGATACTCAACAGAAATGTTCATATGTAAATCTCCTCTGTAATAATACCACATACGTTGGTATTCCAGGACAGATCTTGTTCAACAATTTGGAGCAATTGAAATACACGAAATGCTAGTCAGCCACAATCCAAATCTCCACTGACAGTAGACATAGACCTGCAATCAGCTCCTAATTCTATCCTAAGGATAAATCTAGTTCTAGCAGATGTACCAGCTTTATTGACATTGCTAGTAGGCCTACCAGATCTAGACCTTGGGGGCACGTTATAACTAATGGATGATCCACCTACTACCCCTCATAGAGTACGATTCCCACTCAAAACCTGTTCAGTTTCATCCTCGTTGTCAGTATCGTCACTGCTATTCCCATCAGTTGGAAATTACTATTGAAGTCTAAGTCAGTGTGGCTGATAATGTTATCAAGATAAAAAAGCTTATATTAGTCCTGTCGACCAGCAAAAAGCTTTACAGGGCTTTCGTTTTGCGTGAACCGTTGCCCCAAGCCATTGTTGCCATTGTAAACAAAAGGGTTTGCTTTATTTCGATCAACACTTCAGACTAAAGAAACCACGCAAAATTCTCTTTAAAAAGCGACTAATAACGAAACTAGCAGTGAAGCTTCCGGTCTTGACACAAATACATTCGGAAGTCGCAAAGTATTGCAGAAAATAGCAGTAGGAGCCATTTAATAAGACCAAATGAGAAATGACAACTGAGTCGTTCCTTCGCAGAAACCGCGTTCGGCCGTCGACAACTGAGTCATCACTCCGGGCGGAATGAGTTAAAGCCGGCAGGGACTGTATAATCTTTCACAAAGATTCATATGAGTTTTCACATTTTTCATTGACAATATCGCCTACACAACTGCAGAATTCTGTTCAGCAAATTCATTTTAAAAAACAAAACAAATACTAATCAAAATAGTAACAGAATAAGTATAAGAACCAGCAAGAAGGCAATTAATGTTGAATTAGTAACTCTAGCAATAGCAAATTATTTCAAGGGACAGCAACATATGAAATACGGTACCTCATGAGGCGTCTCTAAAAACTTTTCTTGATTTAAAACTTTTGATGTTGTTGCTCCAATACCATTTCCTCCAAAATCTCCCAGTTCAGGAAATCCTTGCCTCATCCAACGACGCATCCTCGCCGCAAAGTCACAAGTAAGAACCTGAACCACAAACGCAAAAACACAATTAAGGAAAAACTGACCAACTACAACAAATTTCATCAGCTTTTTTTATGTGCCAAACAAAGTGCAGAATTTTTAGTTCAATTTTCCATATATGAATTATATTATACCGTTCAAATTTTTATCACACAAACAAGGAACCCTACTTACCTGCTCTACACAGACATCAATAAATTTTTCTCACAAAATAATCTTTGCAGCAGTCCTAGTCTAAGATGCAAACATTAATCATCCTGGTTTCCTCTAGAAAACTTAATTTTTACAATATATGAAATCCCCCCCCCCCCCCCCCCCCCCTCCGGGCAGCAAGAATATTTCACTGCCAAAAGTAAAAGTTAACAAAAGCTTTATGGCTAGCTTCTTTCACAGACCATTGATGGGGAAGTGTGCAGTCATAAAATTCTGTTTGTGATGTTTGCAGAATTTCAATAATATGTGAGCGTGCCGGGTGAAAGGTACCAAAAGACGCATTTTCTCAAACCGAGATATCAGGCTTCAAAGGTCAAAAATAGAATTTTTGACAAAAACTAAGTTCCATTTAAAAATGGATTCTTTAGCCATTCATATATCAATAATTACAAGGACTTGAGTTTCTTTTACTTTAAAGTACATTTTTAAAGATGTTTTTTAACACGAGGTATATTGCATAATCCACAAAAATGCGTTAAAAAATTGTTTTTTCCGAGTAAACATTGCGGATGGTTTCTCTTGTCCATTCATAAAGTCAACCCAATCACATCGCATACCAAAATTTAGGTCATTCTCTCCCCCCTCTCTAGTAGCAGGTAGTGCACATGAATATCTAGAACATGTGTAAACAAAGCGAAGCTTTGCGCATCCACACCCTTTAATTTTTTTGGAGAGCAAACTTGTACATATGTATTGCTTTTTTCTGCCCAGCGCAAACCTAGCCCAGATCTATTCTTGAAAATTCTTCAAGCTGTCCCCGCGTTTTTACGCATTAAAAAAATTCTGAAATTATGCAAACTGAGCCCAAAAATGTGAAATTATGCGATTCTGTCAATTTTAACAAAGAATGATAAAGGAAAATAATAAGAAATTATGCAAAAAAATGATCAAATTTTGCTAAATTATGCGGGGTGCATAAAACCCTGGGGACAGTTAAAGGTGGTGGTGAATTTGTTTTGACGACGTAATACACACACTTTGAAGCTGTTCTTTTGTCTTAGCTGCTTTTTAAAGTTGGTTTGTGAGCAGCTAATGTGTTGTCAGGTCGTCTCGAAGCGTAGATCTATCTATTCGAAGCAGAAACAAAGGGAAACTTTAAAGCCGTTTTTCTCAAAACTTTGTTTCCGTACCCTGCCTTACAAAATCACCCATATCTCAAAAACTATTGGAGATATCATAAAAATTCAAAAAGCATATTGTTTAGAAATAATCTCAGTACATGAAAGTGCAAAAAAAAAAAAAAGGGATTCTTCAAAATGCCTCATTTGGTAGGCCTACCTTTCACCAGGCACACCCACTTATTTTCAAGTCAAGTCAAAGAAGAGTACAAAATGGAGATCGTTGGTATTTCCCTTAAGACTAACAATCATAAAGCGCAAAAAGCATGCTGTAAAGCATGGATATGCGTTATTTACATGCAGTTTTGTTTCTATTATTATTATTAAGACTCTGAAAGGGATCCTCTCACATTAAGCATGTCACTGATTCCTTCCCATCATGAGCTTAGGCAGAAAACTCTGCACATCAAATTTTTGGGAAAAGCATCTTTTAAACTTCATTTCAAGAATTCCCCAACAAAGTGAGGACTTCCATTTCCTTGCACTATCATTTTGAATTTCATCATAAAGCTACATCTTAATTTCATGAATGTGATGAGCAACATGCAAGACAGACCTCTCCTTTGTTGTAGAGAATGCCCTGGAGGATAAGAATCATTTGGTCAGTGTCATCTGTCCAGTCACCATCCTTCCACCTGCTCCTGTGAAGATCTGGAACTTTCTGTGCATACTTCAGATTCTTTGGCTTCCGACCATAATACTGTTTGCGTAACATGTGAGAAAAACATCATGCTTAGAAGTCTTAAGGTATAGGAACATTCTCCAATTGTTCAAAAACACAAACCTCAAAAGTCACAAAAAGATAAATTTCATGTGGAATGACATGAAAATCAGTCACACACTTTCAGTTGATTACTTATTTCATCTGCAACATTAAAGTGTGTAACATAATAATAATAATAAAATAAGCAAAATATCCAAAACACATCTTGTCCCTTTGTATCTTTCCTAGTGTGCTTTGCATTCACTTGCTACCATCTGCCATAAGAAAACTGAGGATCACACCTCTATAACGAGGGAAAAATGTGTTTGTCAGTGCAAAACTGATTCTACTCAAGAGATGCGAGCACCCAAGAGTGATAATAATAAACTTACTCAGCCAAAGTTTCCATGGTGTTCCAAATTGTTTAAAAACAATTTGTTCTAAATTACTTATAATTGTGCCTGAAGAAAACAGTGAACAAAAAAGTATAAATCTTAAATAAGTAAATAGAAACAGAAAGTATATACATACCAAAGATAGTACAAGACAAGATGGGTCACTCAGCCTAAAAAGTGTCCGCAGGAAGTATGCTCTTTGCTTCAGATGGCGCTGCAGTCTGTTTTGAAGCTCTCTTTCGTTTTTCCAGAAGAAGAATAGGAATAGCACTTCCTTGCGTGCGCAGATCGACTGCTGTTCATCAGCAGTTCGGGTACGTTCAGTGCGGAGTTTTAGTTTTTAAAAATTTTAATGACCTCTCGCCCTTCATTCTAAAGTCAAATTAAACGAAGAAAACCATCACCTTTTCCTCCGGAAGAGGTTTTTTTGTCAGCGTAACCATTTTAAAAAAGCGTTCTTCCGAAATTATCCCAAAACTTGCTAGTTTCACTTTGATTTTTAAAAACTCAAGTAGGGTAACTCTGTTCGCAAAGAGTGCTCTTTTGTGAAGAGGGCGCCACCAAATTTTGAGGACACTTTTTTAATTGGCTCAAAGAGAGAAGTGGCCCATCTTGTTATGTACTATCATTGTACATACACAACCTAAACGAGACAGGAAACAAATGCTGATAGGCATATATATCAACGAAACATCATGGATTGTCACAGTTGCAGTAAGCTACAAAGTAACAATATGTGGATTTTCACTGAATGAGTTAACACATTAATTACACCCTAAGGGTCTGGACGGGAAGTCTACCCCCAAATCCTAAGCAAGGCGAAAGAACCCACCACCTGTGAATACAAACATTTTAAAAATACTAAACAAATTCCAAAAATTCTGAAAAAATAAAAATGAGAGAAATGAACGTAGTTTCAGAAAAATAGAATTCTTTTTAATGTCGTATTTAAGTATGCAAAAACTGTTGGAAATGTTTTCATTAATATATTCATTCATCTGATTTGTCATTTTCTTGTTTTTGCTCAAAATTCATCATTATTTCCTTTTTCAAACTCAATTGTGTTGCTTTTCAGCAAGTCGAGATACCTTCGAAGTGTTAAAAATGCGATTGCACTTAGATCGGCTCTAATACCAAAACTAATAACCAACAAAATTTCGTTTTAGTATCAAACAGAAGAAAAATAATTTTGCAACAACTATATAAAACAAAATCTCAGCCCAAGAGTCTTGTCAGGGCAACACTTCGTTTCTAAAGACGCCTGGTCGGAGCGGGCGATCCCGGGCTAGTTAGGGTGGAGCGCATAGGGAAATTCGCGGGCCATCCCAGGTGAGTTAGGGTGTAATTTGTTAAGGAGCTGCGACACAAAGAAAATGCACCACGGAAAGACATCTAGTTGCCATGAAAGAAAAGATCAATATCTTTTGAAAAGAAGAGTTGAAATGAATTAAACTTTTCTAATCCTACAGTTGGTATTTCTGTACACATTACGTTCTCTTCAACTCTACTTTAAGTATCTTTTCTCTTGCCTTTTGAATTCCCAACCAAGTATAAAGACCACCAGCAATGTCCCCCCCCCCTCCCCAAAGCAGCTTACTCCCAGTTTTGCTCTAGTGTTTCACACTTTCTGCCTCAACTTTATTAGCACTTTGTTCTGGCATGCTTGTTCCTCTGACCCTGAAGATATTTCTCTCAGCACCTTTCTCCTTACACCACTTGTCACTGCTTTTTAAATGATTGTTATAAAGTAATATAAGCAGGCTCACCTCTTTTGCTTCTTCCTTAGACATGAATTCTGTTAACAATCCAAGCGCATCTCCAATGCATTGTCCCAAAACAGTAGCAAGCATCTGCTCACAAACGGCAGCAGGAACATGTGCAGAATCAACCTAAACAGAAGAAAAGTACAATTTATACATGTAAATTTACCAGGAAAGCTACAAAATTTGTAACTGCATATCAAATTACCCTTCTGAGCTGTGACATGTGAAAAAGCGAGGCTTAAGTTGAGACTATGATATAGATAGTCTAGCATGCACATAAAGAGATCAGCAGGACTCAAAAATATTTCCGTTATTTGTAAAAATTTCATGAATCAGGCCTACGTGTTTTAAATCCAAAGAAAATACATTTTTTAAAATTTGGGACCTGAAATCTATGTATTCGCTGTGTGCGTGTTTCACTCTGTGCATACTTGACTGTAGTCCCTTCAAATCTAAGGCTCAATGACTTCACAATAATTTATTTTTAAAACTCTCTTGGCCACCCCGTTCATTCAAATGTACCAACCAAACCCATCAAGGGACACACAGCCCAGCACCTTGTTTGCCACTAAAACATTGCCATTCACATGGTGCAGTGACTTGGAAAAACTCAGCAAATGACACACAGCTTTAAAATCAAAAGATTAGTTTGAAAACCATAAAATATCAGCTTTTTATCACATTTAAAAACACTTGCCAATTTCATATCTTTCACCCTTTTTTCTTTTGGAAAATAAAAATATCAATATCTCACTAAGGACATTTTTAAAGGACTAAAGTATTTGAGATATCTTTCTCTACATTAAAGAACAGAGTAGGGTAGAGAGGTACTAAACCATCAAATGAAATGATAAAGCAAAGCAGTTGATAAAAAACCAAATATATGCAGAAACTGAGTTTATTTTTGCTAAATACACAAATATTAACAGCTTTGAGGACAATGTCAGTGCAAACAAAGAAGCTTTTGTTCTACTTCAAGTTGCTTGAATGTACCCATACTGAAAAGGAGACAAACACATGAGTACATTATTCTCCTTTTTTATTTCACAATAAAAACATATCTTCTCCAGATAACTACTATGCCATACAGCTTAAATTTGTTGTGAAAGGTTGCGGAAATGTCAGGGCTTATAAGGCAAAGTAAAAATACCATTTAAAAAAACACTCAAGCTTCCAGTACATCATGCACACTCCAGAACAATTTAGTACAGCATGAGCCCTTGTCTGGCAAAGTTGTTTATAAATGTGTGGCTGCTGCATGTATGGATGATAAGTTAAGCAGTTTTGACCTTAATGTGAGACCAAGTAAAAATGTCAAATATCTCAGAAAGCTCTCATGCTGGGAAACCTGTGCGGGCGTGCGTGTGTGGATTAAATGGGAAAAGTTAAACACCCATAGATCCACCGATGCCAGATGATCATCAAACAAATTCAGGCGACAGCCTACGGTGCAGATGCCATCACCTAGGAACCCCCTTCGAGACACAGGGTCAGTTCGTGCTTCACCAGGCACAGGTTTGGATCTCCCAGGATGAAGAGCAGTGCTAGATTTAGTGGTCAATTGTCTATAATTAGACTTGGTTTTTACTTCTATCTCTTAAAAGAAAAGATTTATTTCTATGGAATCCTGAATTTGCATCTACAGTTAAACATGGGTAACTTGAATTCGTCGGGGATTGGAAATAGTGTTCAAGATTTCGGTAATACGTCATGTCCATGAAAGCCCCAAATACAAAGAAAGAGAGAAAAAATCAAGGGAGGTAAAAAAAAAAGAACATTAAAACAATTAATGTGGTTAGCTCCCTTGATGAACATGTTGAAGGCGTGAGAGCAAGAAGATGAATGAATGCGGAAAACAGAAAATCTCATGTGTGTACAGCCGACTCCTACGCCATTCCTTTCCTGTCATTTCATTGGCTTACAGAAAGTTACGCCTCTTGCCATCCACACTGTGCGCATCCCACAGCATGATTGCACGCGTCGCAAGCCAGTCAGGCGGTGCGGTCAACATCACTCCCCAACCCCCCTTCTCCATCCCCCCCCCTTCCTCCAGCCTCTCGAAGTGAGACAAGGACCACGTTTTGGCTGTAACAATAACAAAGAAACACCTACCCGTGGCCAGAAAAGCTGTAAAGCCAGGTCTTTAGTTGAGAATGTGAAGTGGATTTGTTCGAGATTCGAGTGTTGCGTGTTCCAAGTGTCCGGGAACTCCGTGAAGTCAACACAAAGAAAACATAGGGACTGAAGCGGGACCGGGCATCATATTCGAGATACTCGAGAATTTTGATCTTCGTGTTTGAGATTCGTGGACTGTAATTAGCTTTAGAAAGTGCATCTAACAGAAGCAGTACCACACAGAAACTATGACGATCAACTTTCATCATCATGGTCCTCACTTTTGCAAGGGCTCCTTTGCCATATATAATAAGAAAAAAGTGGCGAACGGGGCATGCTTCATAATTAATAATACAGGTCACAAACCCACATATAATCCATTTTAGCACTTTTGAAAAAATCAGCTTTTTTTTAATGCTTCTCAATGCACAAACTGATTGCAGAAAGTAGGCCTACAAGAATGAGCTGTAGGGAGCTGGTCTAACAAGCTTGACTAAAAAAGTGCACGATGATAAAAAAAAATAATTAGGGGTATGAAAGTGGTAATGGTTTGGCAAGAAGAAGAAATACCATCAGACTGGAATGAAAGCCACCTAATCAAGCTGCCAAAGAAAGGAGACCTCAGCAATAGTAACAACTACAGAGGCATAACACTCCTGTCCATACCTGGGAAAGTCTTTAACAGGATACTCCTGGAGAGAATCAAGCTGGCAACTGATGAGAAGCTCAGTGGAAACCAGGCAGGATTCCGCAAGAACCGATTATCTGTGGACCAGATCGCTACCCTGCGTATCATTGTTGAGCAATCAAGAGAATGGAATTCACCACTAGTGGTCAACTTCATTGATTATGAAAAGGCATTTGACTGCGTGGACAGGGAAACTCTGTGTAAACTCATGCGGCATTATGAAATATCTGACAAAATCGTCAAGCTTTTGAAGACCACCTACGATGGAACAAACTGCCAAGCCTTCCACGAAGGACAACTCTCAGAACTATTCAAGGTACAGACGGGAGTGCGACAAGGATGCCTGCTCTCACCTTTTCTCTTAATACTTGCATTTGACTGGATCATGAAGGAAGCCACCAGAGGCAAGCGCAATGGAATACAGTGGATCCCTTGGCAGCAGCTGGACGACTTGGATTTCGCCAATGACCTTGCACTGCTGTCTCACACACATGCTCAGATGCAAGAAAAGACCAAGGAACTCAACAGCCCATCAAGGAGTGTTGGCCTACGTATACACCCGGGCAAGTCCAAAGTAGTGAAGCTAGGAAAACTGTCAAGCCCTGCTGTGACAGTGGAAGACAATCCCCTAGAAGAAGTGGACTCCTTTACCTACCTTGGTAGTGTCATCGATGGTAAAGGTGGAACTGAGGCAGATGTAAAAGCAAGAACCTCCAATGCAAGGTCAGTATTCAAGCAACTATCAAAAGTCTGGAAAGCAAGCAACATCTCACTGCACACCAAGATTCGACTCTTTAATTCCAATGTCAAGTCTGTGCTCCTCTATGGCTGCGAAACTTGGAAGACAACAAAGACAGTGCTGAATAAGGTCCAGACTTTCATCAACATATGTATGAGGAGTATCCTAAGAATTAAGTGGCAGGATAGAAAGAAATGAAGAGCTAGGGGAAAGGACAGAACAAAAGGATATATAGAAGTAGAAATAGGACTAAAAAAGTGGCGTTGGATGGTACACGCCTTCAGAAAGCCCAGCGGAAACATCACAAGACAGTCACTGCAATGGAACCCACAGGGAGCACGAGGCAGGGGTAGGCCTCGAGAGACATAGAGGAGATGTCAAGATGTGTGGAAAGGGACATGAGAGAGATGAAGCTCTCTTGGAATGAGCTAGGAAGGATGGCCCAGAATAGAGATAAATGAAAGGAGCTTGTATGTGGCCTATACCCTGCCAGCTAGGGGTGAAAGGCTTTGATGAAGATGAAAGTGGCAGTAGTAGTGATTTGCCAAAATCAGCTATTTCCCGAAAAAACAGTCCCTGATGCCTTAAGTCACACTTTTGCTCTAATCACAGCCACAGTTGTCCTCTCTACAATACTTAGCCCTCAAAGGACAAAGGATTTTTTGTTTGCTGGCAGAGGATGAAAGTGAGCTATCTATAAAACGCATTAAATGAGCTAGTTTACACTCTTCAACATCCTTATGAAGAGGAAGTCACATGACAGAAACGGGAATTTCATTGGCTGAGGAAGAAAATTTTAGGATGTATCAAGTTTAGGAAAATAATGATTTTGGATGTAGTATAGGCATATCGAGTTTTGCAGATCTTTCGGTGGCTTTTATGAAGGATGTGTTGGGTTTGGGCCCAAAACACTTTGAGTATCTGATAGCCGGTAACAAGGTGCATTTATAGGCTAAAAATCTTGATTTTTTCCAAAATGTCGCTTAACGGGTTTTGCAACTCACCCCCTCCTATTTCAGGACCTTAGCAGAGCAGTGTACAGGAGAAGTGGTGGCACAAAAGAACTACACCTATTTGATATCAATAATAATCTATCGGTCCCGGCGTTGAACGTCGCATACGCGTCTGTCTTTTATCCCCTGGCAACGGATCATTATTACAATAATAAGCTAGTCTTAACGTAGATCTACGTAATGAATTATGTGCTGGTCTATGGAATCAAAAGTTGCCGTATGATCGGCTCTACAAAGCAACACAACTTTTTCTTGGTAAACAATCGAGATGATACAGGCTTGTGTATTTGAACGAATCGGTCTTTTTTTTTTACACAGCTCATAATGTGTAGGTGCCAGGTGGTCTGCTTATCTTCAATTTTACCTTTTTCTATAGCAAAGAAAGTGGGAAACATGGGGGGTGGGGGGTGTATCAATGAGGCGGCAGGCATTTGATTGGCAGATAAGGTGTGGGGGAAACTAAAAAATGGCGGAAAATTGGAAGCACTTAACGTTAGATCTATAGAACGAAGACACTTCCTTTTTTCCGACCCGAGTCCGAATAACATTTTTTCATATATTCGGACTCGAGTCCGAATAAGAAATTTTTTTATTCGGACTCCAGTCCGAATATGAAAAAATGTTATTCGGACTCGAGTCCGAATAACGACGGCCTAACAAGATAGTTCACTCCTCTCGTTGAGCCAATTAAAAAAGTGTCCTCAAAATTTGGTGCCCTCTTCGAAAAAGTGTGGACTTTGCGAACAGGGTTACCCTACTTGTGTGGAATAACAATAAAACTGAAACTAGGCCTAGCCACAGAATTCTACACATTCTGTGGGCCTGACAGACTGTGCTTGTATAAATAATAATAATAATAATAAATAGCATTTATACTGCGCATTTCCATTTTCTAAAAGATGCTCAATGCGCATTACAACGAAAAAGACATCACATCATAAAAATTAATCGACAAGTGCGTACATAAAACAACGTATTATACATATAATATAAATGCATATATGTGTAAAATTTTATATGAGAAAAATAGTCTCGCAGTGAGGTTGAAAACGTGTTCACTAAAAACAATTCTTTCTCTCTCTCTCTCTCTCTCTCTCTCTCCCCCTATCTCTCTCTCTTTTCTCTCCCTATCTCCCTCTCTCTTTTTCTCTCTCTCATTCTCACACGCTATTTCTTCAGTCTCACATCTGGCGTACACATGCATATATATATATATTACAGTACATCATTATGACAGGTACGCTTTTGTGAATAAAAAATGCTTCA